TAGGAATATAGGAAAATGATCGGATATATCAGTTTTTATGATACCTTTTTGAATACCTTAATTAAAAATGTCTGTTGTAATGATATTATCTATTAGGGTAGCCGAGTTTATTGTTACCCTAGTGGGGCGATTAATTAAGGGTATAAATCCTGTTTCAAAAATTGTGTCATAAAAAGTAAAAGTAGTAAGTTATTCTAGTAAAATACATGTTAAAGAGGCTTTAAAGTTTTACTAAATCACATTATAGTAGACATGTATTCTTTAACTTTTCGTGTTTTAACTTTTACTAAATCACATTATAGTAGACGTCTAATTTATCATCAAGTTATTACAGCAAACTGGCTCGGGATGATATAAACAAAAAAGACGTGAAAGTTGTGTCTAAAATAGCAAATCCTCCAAACTGACTATAAATCAAAATTGTTGCAAAGTTTGGTAATTATTAAGCAAAAACTCGGTAATTATTAAGAGAAAAATGAAAAAAAATAAAAACTATGCAGAAATGTTAAAGTTTGTGTTGTATGTATGTAAAGTGTGTGTAAATGTTAAAAAATGTTTAAAATTTCATTTTAAAAGCATTAAATAGTTTTGATTGTTAATCTTGGTACAAGCTTAAAGGTACCACCAAAGAAAAAGTTTTAAATTTTATTAGATGCCCACAGGAATCAATTAATTTATTTGAAACATTTTATCTTTTTATATTAATGTATTAAAAATAATACTTAGTTTTAAATAAAAGTTGATGAGTACTTTTTTTTTTACTTTTGTTTTTGTACTTTCACATTTATTTTTTGTACACGCTTTTATATAATTCTTACAATTTACCATTTACTCTTAAGTCTTTTTTCTGCAAACACGTAACTATTGTAAATAAATATTTTATTAAAATGGCGCTTATAGAAAACAATTTTTAATAGAAGCAATTTCAGTTATTCATATAAATTTTAATTAGGGGCGGGTTTAGTCACTCGCCAAAGAGAGGGCTAAAAAGGTCTAAAAAATAAAATAAATAAGGTTCGCATATGTTTATTTATAAGAAACTTTGTTTTTTAATTTTTTTGTACTTTAGTGTAATAATCAAGTTCATATACATATAATTACGTATAATAGTCAATTTCATTTGTCACTATAATAGTATAATTCTGTATAATAGTCAACTTACGAAAGAATATTTCTGAAAAAAAGTCACAAGGGAGGGAGGGCTACAACCCCTATGGCCACCACTAAAATCCGCTTCTGATTTTAATTTGTTTTTGATGATATATAAAACTAAAAATAAATAAATTAAAAAAAGTATTATATAAAGTAGATTTTATCAAAAACTTAGGTAAAAAAATCAGAAGTAAAATGAAAAAAGAAAAACAGGAAATTAAAAGTAAAATGAGAAAAGAAAAATAGGAAATCAAAAGTAAAATGAGAAAAGTCTGAAAAAATTTAAAACACAGTTTCTTGATTAATTTGTTTCGAAATTCCAAAATTTTTTGCTCACAACTTCATTATATTATTATTAATAATTTCTACTAAAAGAATAAAAAATTATTTTAAAAATCTAAAATGGGACACAATATTAAAAAAAATAACAAAACTATACATTAAAAAAAATAGGTGTTTGTGTTTTAAAAGTTTTAAAACTATTCTTCGTTAATTATTTTAGTAGGGTAGAGTGGCCACTCTAACCTACTTCCCTAACTTTAACTTAGTAGGGTAGAGCGGGGTTATTTGAGCATAATCGTTCGTTGGGAAATTAAAAAATCTCAAAAACTACACATCACATGACAAAACATCTGATGTATGAAAGTTAGGGAATTAGAATGTAAATACAATGCGCAACAAAAGATTGCTGGAAAGCAGTTGAGTAAGATACACGGGCACTTTTTCGATTTTTTACCAAAAAATTAAAAAAAAAGTTTCGCTATTTTTCTTTTGGATACTTATAATTTTTTTTATCTTCCATCACTTAAGTGTTAATATTTTATCAATTTATTGGACTTTCGATTAAAATTAGCCGTTTTTTCCTAAGTCTTACTGTTCTCTTTAAAACCTAACTAATGTGTTACCTTGTCTAGAAGGGGTAAGTTGAGCAGCTTTGAAAAAAATAAAAATGAACTATCGAACGTAAAAAAAAAAAACAACTTGGACAAGAAATGATTTAGCGGTATATTATTTATATAAATTTTTAAAATTAGTAATTTTTATATCGGGCTTCAAGGTTCAAAATAGTTGATAAAATAATAATTCAATATTTTATAACGTTTTCTTAATATTTTAACTTTTCTTTTACTTACTTCATTAAAGTGCACAAAATAAAAAGTTAATAAATATACACACGTTTATTGTTAGTGAAAGTTTTATTGATGATTCACCGAAGTTTCGTACCATGCATATTCATTTATTTGTTGATTGCTCAACTTACCACAAACTATTGCTCAACTTACTGGGCAGTATGAGCAGCTCCGCAAACTTTAGACAATATCTTTTCAAAAAAAATTAAAAGCTATATTTTTTTCTTAACAAAATCCGACGTTCATGAGATCTGTTATATTTAGTAAAAATTGCTCAACTTGCCCGGCTCTACCCTATATCTTAAATCTTTATGATTAAGAAACATGCTCTCAGAACTTCAGCCCAATACATTTCTAGTACACAAGATATCCGATTCAAAAATTGAATTAAAAAAAAAAAAAAAGAAAAAAGTTTGTAAAAACAAAGAACAAAATAAAAACTATTACATTTTAAAAACAACTTAAAAATTACAACTTTTAAACCGCCAAAAAAATGGACTTTAGCATCTTTGTTTTTTCTATTGTACAGTTTTTATTTATATATACACTTTCATATTAAAAAAAAAAAATGCTTCTATAAAAAATTTTTTTTGTAAAATTTCTTTGTAAATTTTGTGAAAAAATTCTTTTGTGAAAAAATTCTTCTGTAAAAAATTTCTTTTTGTCAACACTATTTGAAAATTTTCTAATAACAAGAAATTTTATTCATAAAAAAATTAAACTTACATATAAAATAAGTTAAGTTAAGGAGATATTAGTATTTTAATGCAAAATATATTTTTTTAAAAAATGATAAATTTTACATGGAATGATATATATATTAAAATAGTAAATTATAATTAAAAAAATGTGAAACTTCTATGCGGAAATTATTTTATACCTTAACTTTCTAAAACGCGTCCTTAAAATCCACGAGGCCTTTATTTGACTTACAAAAAGCAATGAATAGTGTTGCTTTATGTTTTAATCTTTTTAATCTTTCACATTTTTTTTTGTTTTTAAAAATAATTATATATTAATTTATATTATTAACCAATTAAAATTAGAAAAAAATAATAAACCAAAGAATACTAAACCATACTAAATTTTTCTAAAACTAAAAAGGTTTCTAAAGGTTATCATTTATTTCTAAAGGTTTATAAAGTCTAAAACTATAAAGCTTTCTAACTAAATATTTCTAAGGCTATAAAGGTATAGTTTTTGTTTAAGTTATTAAGTTATTACGGAGTGCGTGAAACTTACAATATAGAGAGTCTGTCTCTCTCAGTGCCGGGGCTACTAGGTTTGCCTTCCAAAAAAACCTGTTATATGGACCCAAAAACCTTAGATGTTACTAAAAAAAAAAAGGCTCCTTACATTTGTAAAAGGGTCCCTAAATTTGCAAATGAGCCTCCTTGCCAATTTGCTACCCATAGCTCTGATCTCTCTTGTTTATTTTTAAACTTATTTCTTATTTGTTTGAAAAAAAACATTTTTGTTAAACTTTCTAGGTTCCATTTTCGCAATTATCTTGCCCCCAGAACTGTCATTCATATAGGAAAAAGTGGAGTAAAACAAAGATTTAAAAAATTTTAGTGATATATAAAAAAATGTTCCCTGTAATATAAGTATATTATTAGTTTGTATATATTTTTTGTACGAATAATTTATTTTTTTGATCTGATGTTTAGGTCAATACCGTATTACGAACACATATTACATAGACGCACTTTTACTTTAAATTTTGATTGAATTTAAAATTAAAATTTATATCGCTCTCTCCTGCTTAAAAAAATGGTAACATCATTAATGCTACTCAGTGCCGTGTCTAGTGGGTTGGCTCTGTCTATTCTCATCATCTTTACGGGTTTTTTCTACTTATGAATAATATCTCTAAAGTAACTTAAAAAACGGCAATTCGATTCTCGTTTAATAAATGGTTATTGTAAAACTGTAAAATATATTGTAAAATAATATTTTGTTTTGTGTTTACAACACAAAAGATTGTTTTATGGTAGTTTTACAACAACTATCTATGCATACTGAAAATTTAAAATGAAATATGTAAAAGTACATTTAATGTCATGGTATGATATCAACATGCATTAACTTAGACAATGCTGTGAAATTAGTTTTGCGAGGCTATTGAAAGATTTCTGGAAATCTGGATATATGTAATGACAATAGTCATTGTAAACGTGATACAATAGAGTTTAACGAAATATCAAAAATTGTTTTTTTAATTTTAAGGTGTTTCTATAATTTAAATTCTTGTATTAATTATAACATTTTAAAAAAGTATGAAAATTATTTTTAAACATAAATTGTTCTTTAAAATTTATATTGTGTCTGAATATTTGTATTTAATAGTAATCAAATATGAAAATTATAAAAGTACGGCAGTGTTTTTTTTCTAGAATAAATTTACATTTTTTTATTTAGTTTTTTGTTTATTTTTTCATATTCGAATTAGCTATTTGAAATTTAAACTTCAAATTTCAATTCGCTATGGTTTGTCATATTGCACATCATATAGTTTTCCCTGTTTGTTATGCATGTTTGTTTACTATATAATCATAATGAGTTTATACAACTGTTTTTAAGTATAACTTTTTAAGCATCTACACATCTAAAAGTAAAATAATCTTTGAAAAAAGTAATTTTAAATATATTTATGAAGCTAAAGGTGTTGGTGCATCATAATGTACATTATTATTTATTCTATTTTTTTTGGGTCTTTTTTCTATTTATAAGCATTAAAAAAGTAAAATGACAAATGAAGAAAAGGAAAAAGCTGAGAACAGTAGATTGATTAATCAAGAATTTGGTATTCATAATGTTTAATTATATTTTATTAATATTTACAATATATTTTATTGATTTTTCTTCTTTCTTTTTTTTTGCAACATTTTAAAATATGTGTTTATAAAAAAATGTAGTGCTGTTTTCTAATGCTAAGCTTTTAAAGTTTAGTTTTAATTGTGAATATTTTAGTTTTAATTTGTTTTAATATGTTATTGAAAATTAACTTAAGCTCTAATATTAAAAACTCACTTTTAACAAGAATGCAGGCTACCAATATTAAATTTGGCTGCTAATAGGAAATAAAAAAAACTAGTTAAAGGCCAAGACAACCTTTAACAGAAGAGTTAATAAATTATAAATTATAAAAACATTTATTTATTTATGCTCCTTGAGATTCAACGCAATGTTGAATCTATTATGAGCCATTGCTATTAACAGTTTCATAATAGTCATAGAGATCAGAGTTTCATAATAACCATATGTTTATCAAGCTTGTCCTTGAAGATATTTACACTTTTCGCGGAGATGATCTCTTCTGGTAGTTTAATCCACCATTTTGCAACTCTATTTGTAAAAAAATTTTCCCTTGGTCTGTTTCTTTTTATCAGCTCAATATCTACACGTGCTTTATGTCCTCTAATGTTTGAAGCTGGTCCATTTGCTGAAATTGAAATTGCTGTTTTTGGTTGTTGATACCAACACACTTTGTCCAAATTATGAAATATTTTATAATATTGAATTAAATCATATCTTAATCTCCTGATTTTTAAAGAAGTCAGTTGGAGTTTTTTTAACCTTTCTTCATAGGGTAGGTGTCTTAACTCTGGAATCAACTTTGTTGCTCGTTGTTGAACAATTTCTAATTTATGTATGTCATTTTTATTATAAGGGTTCCATATTGATGATGCATATTCAAGAATAGGTCTTACAAAAGTGCAATACAAAATCTTCATTGTGTTTTTGTCTTTGTAAGTAAATGATTTGCTTAGTAGACCTAATCGACTAGTTTGAAATTTGTTTTATTTACAACCATATTTACATGTTGATTCCACTTCATAGTATTTGAAATTAAAAATCCAATGTCTTTTTCATTAGTTGTTGAATCTAATTTTGAATCTTTTATAAAATATTCAAATTTCTTATTATGCTTTCCAAAATGCATGATTTTACATTTTTTGATGTTGAAATTTATCATCCATTTGTCGGACGATTCAGTTAGATTATTAATATCGTCTTGCAAGCTTTTTGAGTCTACCTGGTTGTTAACTACAGCTATAATTTTGTTATCATCTGCATAAAGTTCGCATTTATTTTTAACTTTAAATGGTAAATCATTAATATATAACAACAACAATAATGGTCCAAGCATAGAACCCTGTGAAACACCATTTAGCACCTCTAACCAATCTGAATTGCCTATCATTAGTTGGTATGTTAAAAAATCTAAGGATTCTAATAAGTTTGTTATACAATTTTTACCCTTTAAGAAACCATGTTGTTGTTTACAGAAAAGATTATTTGGTTCTAAATAGTTTTTTAAGTTATCACTTATAATTTTTTCTAGTACTTTGCAAGGTATGGATATCAAAGATACTGGTCGATATTTTATTGCTTGCAATTTACTTCCATTTTTAAATATGGGACTCACATTTGCCATTTTCCAGAGATTAGGAATATCACTCTTTGTTAGACTTTGTTGATAGATAATTGAAAGTGGTATTGAAAAACATATTAAGGACATTGTTAATACTAATTAACTTAAATTTCAATATAATATTTAGAATTTATTAGTATAATAATTATATTATTATAAAATATTTATATTATAATTATATTATATTAACTATTATATTATTATTAAACTAAAACACACATGCACACACACAGATATATATATATATATATATATATATATATATATATATATATATATATATATATATATATATATATATATATATATATATATATATATATATATATATTATATATATATATATATATATATATATATATATATATATGTTATATATATATATATATATATTTATATATATATATATATATATATATATAAAAATATATATATATATATTTTTATATATATATATATATATATATATATATATATAAATATATATATATATATATATATATATATATATATATATATATATATATATATATATATATATATATATATATATATATATATAAAAGATTAAAGACTTAATTTAAGAGTAGTAGTAATAGTAGAAAAATAAAAAAAGTAAAAAAAAAAAATTAGAAATTAAAAAAAATAAAATAAAAGCAGTAAAAAATGATAAAAATGTTTTGTTTTTAAATTTTATTTGATTTTTTATAATAAATTAAAAAATGTTAAACTCAAAAACTAATAAATTATTAATAGTTATAATAGTAATAATAATAATAATAATAATAATAATAATATTAATAATAATAATAATAATAATAATAATAATAATAATAATAATAATAAAAATAATAATAATAATAATAATAATAATAGCAATAATAATTATAATAATAATAATAATAAAAATTGTAATTAAGTTAACATCAATAAACATTTTTAACTTTAAGAGAATTGAATTTAAACAGTTCCTCATTGAAGTTATACTTGTTTATTACAGGAAGTTTTAAGTGCACAATAAAATAAAAAAAAATTAATTTTTAATGTTCATACAAATTTTTTTTTTTATAAAGAAATGTGTGTTGGCACTGGTAAAAACTATTTTTTTTATTTTTATCATTAAAATAATATGTAAGTTGCCATCATATTTATATATAAAATAATTTTTTCCAGGTCAAAAGAAGAAGTATGACAAAAATTTTAAAGGTCCAATAAAAGATCGGTATTAGTTCAAATTATTCATTTCATTAAAATATTTAAATAGATTAAAAAAATATATATATAAGTTTCAAAATATTTGCCAATAAACCATTATTATATTAATATTTAGTATTAAATACTAATTTTTACAAAATTTTAAAACAATATCATAGTTTTTTTTACAAAGTTTTTGGTACAATTATACAGATAAATCTACTTTTCTTAAAATTTGTTGCTAAATTCATATAGCAAAGAAGATCAGGCTATTGTTTTTATTTTTGTTGTTGCTGCTGCTACTGCTGCTGTTGTTGTTGTTGTTATTGTTGTTATGGTTGTGTTTTTGATAATACTATGAGAGTAATTTCAAAAAACCTACAAGTGTTAATTTCAAAAAATCTACAATTGGCAAATGAATTTTTTAATTCGTTTTTCGAATTTTCATTTCATTTAGTCAATTATTCCAATCATTTGCTGCTCTTTTCATAATAAGTTTGTTTCAGCGTTCATACTTACATGTTTCATTTAAATATTTTATATTGTAACCTTTTTTCATCAATAGAATCATTTTCTTTAACAATGCACTGATGCTGTATTTCAATGCATCCTTTAAAAGGACCTTCCTTCTTGACAATCTTCCCTGGTTTTTCATGACAGGCAGTATTTGTCTAAAGTCACCATTAAAAAAAATGACTATCCTTCAAACAGAAAGTTCTTATTGCAAACATCTTTTTTAACCTATTAATTGGATTTAAGGCATGTTTAGGTATCATTGATGTTTAATCAAACAAAAACAAAATAACTTACCTTAAAAATTGTTCTAATATAAAGTTAGGATTACATACATATGCTGTTATCCAATATAGGGATATGTAGTTTGGATAATTCCATTTGTAAGGAGAGTTGCTACAATGCCAGTCAATGCAGATGTTGCAAATTTAAAACCTCTACTTATGGTTTCAGCAGTAAACATTTTTTCACTTGTATCCATGAAAAACAATTGAGTTAAAGATTTGAAGTTTTTATTGACACTAAAGATAAAAAAATGATTTACTTAAAAAAAATATTTTATTAATAAAGTTTTTGTTGGGGATAGGGGGGTGGGGGTGGAACGAGTTAGACATGTACCTACAACCCCTTGGTTTTTCTAATTTCTTTTATTTATAAAGTTGTTATAGCAAAAAAAAAAAAAGAAAAAAAAAGTCGTGATACCTGTTAATTTTTTTTGGACTTTAAAAAAATCTCTTATATTAAACTAAAAATTAAACATATTATAAATTAAATCTTATGTTATTGGTAAAAGTCTTATAAAACCTTTTGATTAGGGTATTAGGCAAAAAATTTTTTTTGTTGATATGTCTTACAATGAAATTTTTTTTTTCATATTTCTTTTTTTTTAAGATAATTGACTTTTAAAAAAATGTTATTTATTTAAGAGTTTTTTTTTTTGAAATTAAAATTTTTATTTAATAAAGAAGTCTTAATAAAAATTTTGTTTTTTATTAAAATATTGCTCTCCTCATTCTTTTAATTAAATCCCCTCTTCTTGTTTATTAGACCTAGACCAAATTAACCCCTCCCTTTTATTTTATTATTCCCCCCTTCCCTCTTCTTGTATTAAGCTCGCAAGAGTACTTAAATAGAGTTTAGATATATTCTAACTTAAAAGGTTGAGTCATATTAAACATGCGTACGCAAAAGAAGTAAATTTTTTAAATTTAAAAAGCCTTTTACAAAATATTATTGCATAATTATGCATTACCCATGAAAATCAAAAAAATTTTTATTGATATGTCTTACAATGAAATTTTTTTTTTTAAATATATATATATATATTTTTAATATATTCAAACCTAATAAATAAAAATTATTAGATAAATACTTATAGATAAAAGTTAATATGTAAAGTATAATAAATTGATTAGAATTCCCTGAAATTAAAATTACAAGTTCATTAAAATTTTTTGCTTGTGATAAAAATTTCTCCTAATAAACTCATGTAAATAACTTTTAAATAAACTCATGTACCTTTGATGTGAAAGGAAATCAAAGCCATATCTAATATCATTCTCTTCATCAGTTGAATTGAAAAGTTCTTATTTTTTAATTTTTCTTAGCTATCTTTGCACAAGCAAATTGTTCAATTTCTGCTTTTTCAGGGTTATCAGTTAGGATGCAAGTGTCCCTGTTTTCTACCTCAAGAAGGTTGGACACGAGGTTCTGCTTTGGGATAGGGCATGATATCATGTGGAGAAAAATGTTTTAGATATTATATCTGATGTTTGAGTGTAAGGTTTTAAGATACAAGTCAACATTGGTTTCATATAAACTGATGTACTAGTACTAGGTGTTGATTGCATTGGATCACAAACTGAATTCTGAATCAAGGCTGGGTCTGGATGGTCTGTAACAGTACTGGTCATGATTTGTTGTCAGTAAATATGCTTGAAGTTATTGGCCATATTCGAGATACTTTGAACACACTAATGATGTTTGTAGGAGTCAGGGTTAGGGTTGTCGAGGTTCACTTAAATAGAGCGCTTATTTTATCAAAAAAAAAATATAGGCTCTTTTTTACAACAACCAGGTATTGACAAATATAAAAAAAGCAATTTACAAATGCTATAAAATCTTTTCCTTTTTATCTGTTATAGTTATTAAGACCTTATTTGTTACAGTAGATAGAAAAACATTAATATTTTGAAAGTATTTTAAAGTATCATGCTGTAATTAATTTAATTTTAAACTGTGGTAAAAGTTATTTAAACTAATTTAACAGAAATTATTAATAGAATTATTTGAAAAAGATTATATTTCTTTATAATTTATTTCTTAAAACAATCTTATCAGAGCCGTCCCGACGAGGTCTCCCAAGGGGGGGGGGGGGGTATCTATCTTTTCGTCAACTAAAAACACCAAAAAATGAAAAGTCCTCAATATTTGCAATTTGCCAACTATAGTTCAAAATTTGCTCAATGTGCCAACTCAAATGCTTATATGACAGCTTGGAAGGGGGGGGGGGGGGGAGAAAAACCAAAAAAGCAACATAATTGCATCAAAAGAATATTTTTAGTTGCCCTTCACAAAATTCAATTGTCTGGTACTGTTGGGTGACCACGAGTGTACACCTCTGATATATATATATATATATATATATATATATATATATATATATATATATATATATATATATATATATATATATATATATATATATATCCACTTTTATATACTCACACACACGCACATACAACATAAGAGCACACTTCAGTTGACAATCTAGCGTCATACTGAAACAGATAGCTGTGGGGGCTTCATTACATACATTGACTGATATAGAGAGAACATGCAAGGAAAAAAATATTTTTTCAACATTTTAATACATATTTTAGACATTTTAGACATGTCTTGTGCCTGCTAAAATAAGGTGACTAAAATAAGTATATATATATATATATATATATATATATATATATATATATATATATATATATATATATATATATATATATATATGTATATATATATTTATATATATATATACAAAGCTATATATGTATATACACATATAGTGGTGTGTGTATCATCATTGTCATCAATAATGTGCGGCTGTGGCGCAGTGGTTAGAGCGCTTGCTTTATAAGCAAGAGATCCAGGTTCGAAATGAGCTCTATACATATTTTCGCGTCACGGTAAGGAAGGAGGCATGATCTTCCTGGTTAAATGCACTACCGCGGTGCTCTGTGACAAGACCGATAGGTCTTCTTGGGGCACCTAAATAACAAAAAAAACAAAAAAACAATATCAAAATAATCAAATATAATAATTATATTTTAGAGGATGTACCGATATTATTTGCTGTGTGTTGTTTTCTATTTATATGATTGGAATGATAATTGTTGGTATTGTTGGTGAGTTTTTTTTTCTACAATGTTTATATATTCATGGTCTACACGACATTAACTTTTTTTTTTGGAGTCTTACATGTTTTTTTTTTTTTAAAAGAATATTTTTTAAATTCTTTTTTTGTGTGTGTGTGTGTGCAAGTGTTATAAAATCAATGTGTTGTTAAAAAATGTCTACATCAGCAACCCTACATTAACAATACAAATATTTAAGTATGCATCAATCACAAACTATATGAAATAAGAAATAATAAGAAATCTAAAAATTGTATTAAAAACATATATAATTTTAGCTTATATGCAAGGAGATCCTAAACGGCTGCTCTTCCCTACAGATTCAAATGGTAAAATTTTATTTAAAATAAAATATTTATTTTATAAATTTTTTATTATTTTGTTGCTTATTTTTTTAATTCAACATATTTAAGTTAAAGGTTTTGATATAAGTATGTGGTATATATTTTTTTCAGTTACTTTTATCTTAATAATATAATTTTATTCATTTATATACAAATTTGAATATTTAAAAAAATGTACAGGTATTTAAGGAAAAACTATATAATTAATACATAAATTGTTGCACAAGAAATATAGGGCTCTATCTAGTAAACAACAAGGGTTGATATTTGACCAGGGTCAGGTTTGATAAAACATAGCCAGGGCTGGGACTGGGGCCGGGTTTGTGACGACATAAACATTTATACATCCTAAAGTTTTTTTTTTTATAATTTATATTTGATTTTGTGTATACATGTATTTATAAACATGATCAATATGATCATCATCATCATCATCATCATCATCATGATCATCATCATCATCATCATCATCATCATGCATCATCATCATCATCATCATCATCATCATCATCATCATCATCATCATCATCATCATTATCATCATCATTATCATCATCATCATCAGCAGCAGGCTTTAGCCTTCCTCTTTTATGCTGTTTCTCTAATCATAGTCAATTCTCAAATGAGCTATCATCTCTATTACAATAAACCAAAATTCATTTTTTGCTTGGCTTCTTATTTAACAAGTGCATCCTTTTACTGTATCTGTCCCTATTTATTTATCTGTCTTTTTTATGTTAAAAGAATTTAACAATTGAAGTTTTAATAATTAATAATAAAAACAAACAACTTAAAAAAAGATATGAATAGTAATATATGTTCAATAATAAAACATAAATACCATTAACGAATTATAATTTATAATTATAAAGAATGGCAACATTAAAATATTTTGATAATTAAATATAGAAAGTTATGTTCTCACAACATAAAAAAAGACAGCTAGAACCCTAATTAATCATTCTTGCTAGAACCTAATAATAATTCTCATTCCACGAAATGTTAATCAGTTTTATTAGACAACTTTTTCTGTTTTTAGGAAAAGTATGTGGTGTGGACATGTAAGTTAATTTATTTTTTAAAAACTTTAAAAGTTTTTATGTTGTTTATGATGTTTTGCATTTCAGAGGACTGAATAAAGCTGTAAAAACATTTATTAGTAGCAAAGAAACAATTAATCTTCTCAACTGTCTCTGCTGTGGGAATGTATTAAAAGTAAATTTATAAATGTAAAATTGAAACAATTTATAAACAATAGTTTTTGAACTTCTAAATAATAATAATTAGATGCAAAAAATGAACGAATAATGAATAATTTTTGTTTTATTTTCAATCTAGACAAAAAGAATTTGAAAAAATTATTTTATGTAAAATTGTACAAATTCTTTATTTTATATTAATTTTAAATTTATGTGAAATCATTATAAAATCTTTAAAGCCTGTCTCTTTTTGAGATAAATTTTTTTTGAGATAATTCTCTAAAGCCTTTCTCTTTTTGAGATAAAACTCTCAAAGCCTGTCTCTTTTTGAGATATTTCTCTAAAGCCTGTCTCTTTTTGAGATAATTCTCTAATCTTTTTAGATTATGATTCAATCTTTTAAATTGTTTAATAATTTGGATATTTTCAATATTTTAAATAATTACATAAACTTTTGGATTATCTTTTAAATTTTTCTAGTTCATGTTGAGCTAAAAGATTTAAAAGCATAATGTTAACAACAGTTTTGAGCTCACTTAAAATATTATAAACTAAAAGTTCTTGTTTTAACATTTTTAATAAAAAAATTTTGAAACTATTTAAGCTTTTTACTGATAACTTCTGAAATATACTTTTACAAACTCTTACCATACACATTGCCTTTTTTTTCTTTTTTTCTCTCAGAAGAATTATATATAAAATAATTATTTCAGTCACGGATAAAAACAAAAAATTTCAATGTAGACAGGCTTTAAAAATTGTTTACCTAGTAAGTCTCAATTTATCGAAAATTAGCTTTTGGTTAATTTCTCACCAAAGTATAAAACTTATATTAGCTTATTACATCCTATTGAAATTAAAATGAAATAGTTGTTAGAAAATGCTCATTCAACGCAAGCCACACTAGAATAAAATAGTTTTATGTATGTTTTGTAAAAAGTATAAGTTTGGATTTATAAATTAAAATTTTTTTATATTAAAATACTTATATTGTAACATGAAAAAATTTAGTCATTAACTATCTTAGCAGGATCAAATTTGAAAAATTTAAAATTGGACATAATATTTATTAAAATAAGAATTCCTTGAAATTTTTAGCCTCTGGCTCCAAGAAGATCCTGAAAAATGACCATTTTACTTTTAGCAGATACTGGCCAGGCCCCTCTTGTCTCCTTAGAATTGCAACATTTATTTAAAAGTTTCAAGTCACATAACTTTAAAAATATTTGATATTTTTACTTAAAGATTTGTACCAGGCCATTTTCAGGGGTGGCAAATCTAATGAAATGATCAGAAGTGTAAATTATTTTTAAGTACCTGTATTTATCAATTTAAATAAATTTAGGCAATTTTTTATATACCAGATTGTGATGCTCAAGAAACCCATGTGGCCTTGATGATATCAAAAAAATAAATATTACACATCATTCTATATTCATTGATCTTTCAAAAAATATAAAGATTTTGATCTGCAAGTATATGGATTTCCATATATGGATAATGGGGCACAGTCCCCACGTTTTTTATAGCAGAATATTGCAATTTGACTTTTCACTAACTTCTAGACTAGCTGGAGCTCTGAAACTTTTAGCATTTCTGTAGTGCCAATGAATATATATGTTAAAGTTGTTTTCATAGCCCAAGACAGCGGGGTAGGGGGGCTGTGTCATGGGTCTACTTTTTTGAAGCCAAACCTTGTGATAAATTTTTTACTACTTTTCAGACAAACTGGAGCTCTGAAACTTTCAGCATTTGTGTAGTCCTGATCAATGGATCAATGTGTGTTAAAATTGTTCCCAGGGTAGAAGACCAGTGGGCCCATAAGGCTAGGGCACTAGGGGTTATGCCCCACGTCAAAAAATATATATATTTTTGCATTTTTAATAAAGTAAAGGTAATTTAAAAAAATATTGTCTTTATAAAATTTTTTTTTAATATTTGTTCTTTTCGGTTTTTGATCATTCTGTATTCAATGATCTTTCTTAAAATGTTTTAAGAAAGAAAATATGTTTATAAGATTTTTGATTTGCAAGTATATGAATTAAAAACAGTCATACATCTAAAATAATGATTTTAACAGAATTTTACATTATATAATTTAAAACTTTTTGAATCAAAAAGAAAACAGATAACAACATTGATCTGTCAGGCAACAACAATTGAAGAATACAAATTGATGTTATCAGAGGCAATAAACAACCTAACATTTCATTCCTACATTGCAGAATGTCAAGCAAGATACCTAAGGTAACAAAAGGAAAATTTGGCAAAAGATTGCTTATCGTCTTTCGCAGAAAACTACACGTTTGTGACTCAAGATGAAATCTAAAGTTACCATCGGTACCAAAGTCAATGCATGGTAAACCTCCTTGCCTTCTATTTATTAAACAAAATTGACCAGCTTAAAGGAAAATTGTTTTGCTTCATGTCAGAAGATAATGAGCATGATATTGATTTTTGTGTATGAAGTTTTTATAAATAAAGAATCTTTAAAATATTAAAAATCATTTTAATATTTTAAAGATTCTTTATTTATAGTTGTGCTGCACAGTTCAAAAACCACAAAAAGTTTTACAATATCTGCCTCCATAAAGATGATTTTGATATCGATGCAGACTGGACATTTGTGCTACAACTCATGATATTATTATCATGATATATGCATATATATATATATACATATATATATATATATATATATATATATATATATATATATATATATATATATATATATATATATATATATATATATATATATATATATATATATATATATATATATATATCTTGGTAGAGTGGACATTTGTGCTACAACTCATGATAAGTCACCATGTGATGGTATTGGTGGTACTGTGAAATGATCAACTGCAAATGCAAGTTTACAAAGTCCCATAAATGACCAGATATTGAATGTAATAAAATGCTTGACTGCTGTGCAAAAAATATTTAAGGGTTTTACTTTTTACAAAATTAAAAAATAAAGACCGACAGAATTGAACAACACTTTGAAAAAATGTTTTTAGCTAAGTGGAACAATTCCTGGAATTAGGAGCTATCATCATTTTAACTCAGAGTCTATAGATACTATTAGTTTTAAATAAACAAGTGAAGATTTTAAAATAACAGATATGTTTTCTTTTTCTGATATGCAAAGTATTTAACCTACCAAGTGACCACTCTATCCATGCTTGTAGATATCGGTGGATCTATTTGTTTACAAATTATGCAATGATATCAACACAGAAATAAAAAAAATGTAAAAATTAAAAAAGTTTAATTAAAATCTGCAAGAATCAAAAAGATGAAGCATTCTGCAAATGTTGCAATCGGATAAGACTACATCAGATATCAGAAAGGCTTTAAACTGCTCCAGAACAGTAATTTTTCGAGAAAGAAATTTCTTTTATGAAACAGGAGATTTCAAACGACGTTTTAATAAGCCAAAACCTGTGAAATGATCACCTCAGCTTTTAAGGTCTGTCAAAAGAAAAGTCAAGCGAAATCCATTGCGCTCCATCTGCCAGTTGGCAAGGGAATGTTGCCAACTCCACAATGCAATAAGTTATTAAAGATTTGAACCTTAAATCCAGAGCTGTTTTGACTAATCATTTTATCACTAATAAACAGAAAGAAAGTAGGAAAGAGCGATGCAAAAAATTGTTAAACTGACAAAAATCTTACCCTGGGCGTGTCACAATCTTCTCTGATGAAAAACTTTTCACTGTGGATAATGTTACTAATCGTCGTAACACAAGGTACCTTAGTACTGCCAAAACAGTAAAGGAAGTCCCTGAGAATATCAGGTATTCATTTTCATCAAAAAAACCAGCTTCTGTGATGGTACTTGGCGTGATAGCAAGCGATGGAAAAAAGTGTCCACCAGATTTTGTGAAAAAAGGTCAAAAAAATGACAGTGATGAGTATATCCACCTCCTGCAAAAGAAGGTCATTCCCAGGTTAAACTGAAACTATCCAGATGGTCAGTATGTGTTTCAGCAGGATGGGGCACCAGCTCATACTTCAAAAAAGACTTTTTTGAAGTATGAGCTGGTGCCCCATCCTTTTTACTGAAAAAAATAAATTTTCTTAGTGAAAACATGAGTCAGTACTGGGACAAACTAAAGTGGCCCCCTTCTAGCCCAGATCTGAACCCATTAGACTTTTTTATGTAGACGGCTGTGGAGAAGGAGGCTTGCAAGATACCCCATAAAAGTACCGAGTCACTAAAAAAATCTATATGCAAAATATGGTCCAAAGTTTCAGAAGAAGATGTCAAGAATGCAACATAATTTGTACATAGAATGCAGATCCTTCCAGCGGTGTATCCAACTTCTTTATGATGCCAATAGTGGCCACATTGAATAATTTTAGCATGTTAAACAGTTTTAACATGCACATTCATTGACACTACAGAAATTCCAAAGTTTTCAGAGCTCCAGCTAGTCTGGAAGTTAGTTAAAAGCCAATTGCAATATTTTGCTACAAATATCCATATATGGATATTTGTAGCAGAATATTGCAATTGCCCCATTATCCATATATGGAAATCTATATACTCACAGATCAAGATCATTATACTTTATGAATGATCAATGAATATAGAATAATGCATAATATTTTTTTTTTTTTTTGATATCATTAAGGCCACATGGGTTTCTTGGAAAATAAAAAACAGGTATATAAAAAGTTGCTTAAACTTAATTAAATTGATAATTACAGGTACTTAATAGTTTTTTACACTTCTGATCATTCCATTGGATTCCCATCCATCATGTCCAAAAATAGCCAGTAATAAGTTTTTAATTGAAAAAAAAACAAATATTTTTAAAGTTATGTGACTTGAAACCTCTAAATAAATGTTGCAATTCTAAAGGGACAAGAGAGGCCTGGCCTGAATCTGCTAAAATTAAAATGGTCATATTTCAGGATCTTCTTCTTGGAGCCAGAGGCTAAAAATTTCAAAGAATTCTTATTTTACTTAGCACTCTCAACTGTATAAAAATCAGCAAAATCTGAGATGTATGCTGACATGACCTGGGCCATTTAACATGGAATTACCCATTAACAGTTTTGATCAGAAAAGCTATTTATGTATGGAATTACCAATTAACAATTTTATCAGAAAAGCTATTTATGCATATTGCACTTGCGAACATTAAAAGCAGGTATATAAAAAGTTCTTAAGTGCAATATGCATAAATAGTTTTTCCGATATTGCGATTTAGTTTTGTTTTTAAAGTTGTTCATTAAACCACCTTATTAGATGGTAAATTGTTTCATTTCAAGTTGTTCCATGAATTCAACAACACAATTTTGGAGGAAAAAAAAATTTACTTGCAAAATTTTTATCAATTTAAATTTTTTGTTGTTGTTTTGTTGTTTTTTTGTGATGATTTGTAAAACAATTTGTAAAGTTTGTAAATATTTGTTATTTATATTTAGAATAGGAAAAAGCTTTCTTCATTATTTTGACCTGACAAAATGCATAACCAAAGGTACAGCAGATCCATTAGTGTATGCCAAAAATGGTTTGGCTTGTCCTACTCCAAAGGTTTAATGTTTTTATAGTGTTATTTGTATACTATATGTATTGAATGTGTATTGTGTTATATATTGTATTATTGAATGACACCATTTTTATTAATGATGTACACAAAAAAATAATTTGTTTTCATTAAATTATAATAAATAAATAACCCTTGGAATTAGAAAAAAATGAAGTTGGCAATTTATTGCTGACCTCAATTTTTTTTTTAGAGGTTGGCATCAGGTGGGCAAAAAAAGTTTGATACTAAGGTCTTACCAGCAACATATAAACATAGAAATGAGGTCAGCAATTTTTTGCCAACCTTAAACACTTTTTGGTCGGCATTGCCGAATGCCGACCCTAATTCCAAAGATTGAATAAATAAATTCTAACAAAGAATAATTAAGTTTTCTGCAAATATTTGCTGTCGAAGCAAGACAGTTATAAAGCTTTTTAACATATTCAAGGTAACCAGTCCTTGCCAGTAGGCACTGAAGATATGATAAATGGTTCAGTGTTCAATGACAGTGTTCAAAGAGACCCATTGGGTTTTTTTTTGAGTAACTAAAATGTTTAAACAATTTTAAGCATCAGCTTCATCAGAATGAAATAACCATTTTGTTTGATTTGTTTTAGTTCTCTGAAAAGTTCTCTAATGCAACAACCAGAATTTGTTTTTAACACGATTTTATTTGTTTGAACATAAATGCAAAAACAACAAAGTCATAACTTTTGTCAATGGGACCATCAATAGAGTCATCGTAAATTGATGTTTCCAATGACCTCTTTTCAGTTTATTTGATTAAATTTTGATGGTAGAGAAATTAAAAAGCTACAGTGTGACATCTTTCTCTTTATAATTTCTGTTTGATTACCTCACAAACATCAACTATTATGTGATAGATTTAAATTATTCTTTTTGCTTGAGTTGCTGTAAGATGCTCTATGCATTTTACCATACAAAAAATCTAGACAATTTTCCTATAATCATAACAAGGCCTTGCTTAATCTGTCATTTTGAAATCTCTTTTATTTGTCTATGTTAATAATGCTGTAACTGATAAATGTTAAAAAATGCTGTTGCAGAGAAAATATCATTTTTAAGGAAAATTCACAAACACCAATAAATATGTACCAATAAATATGTACCAATAAATATGTACCAGTAAATATGTACCAATAAATATGTACCAATAAATATGTACCAATAAATGGAATAAGTTATATTAAAGTTGCATTATTTAAAGTTCATCTTAGTTAAATAGAATTATTTAATTTTATTTAACTAAGATTAAGGTTCTAGGAGCATAATGCTTATGTTCTTTCCTTAAAAAAATTATTCCTTACACAATAAAACCACTTACATAACTTTTCAAAAAAAATATTTTTGAATGATATATGTACTGATATGTGATAATATACTGCCCTGATTTTTAATACCAGTTTAATCACATTAGATTATTTTAGTTAGACTTCAGAGATTATATAATGTTAGTTCAAGCCCTTAGATAATATAATTTTAGTTCAGGTTCCTGAGATAATATAATTTTAGTTCAGGTTCCTGAGTTAATATGATTTTAGTTCAGGCTCCTGAGATTATATGATATACTGAGAAGTATAATTTTGATTAAAAAAAGTTACTTTTTATAAAGATTTTATATTTTCATAACAAGTGTTATTAAATAAAGATAAAATAAAAAAAGTTACTTTAATAAAGTTTAAGCTAAAAAAAATAAAGTGTTTTCTTGATTTTTAAAATTTTTGTTTTTGATTTTTCATTTGATTTTAGTTTCTTATAGTTATTTTAAATTTTTTACTTTACTTTTTATAAAAAATAAGTTTTGATTATGATTTTATTCCCACTGATTTTGTATCTAACCATTTTTTTTTTTTAATGGAGTTTATAAGTTGTTTTTTATAAATTACAAAAAATTCTTTTTTTTTTCAATTTTTATATTTTTTTTCTATGAAAATAATTTTAAACAAATCATAAGAATAAAATTAAAAATAAATTTTTTATAAATTTTTTTCTATTTTTTAGGGGATTTCAACAATCTTTAATTTGATTTTTTTTTTGATTTATTTTTTTAGGTTTGTGTTTCTAAATGTTCACAACTGAATGCTGCTGGATTTGATGTTCCATTTGATGAAATGGTTTGTATTACTGGTGTACAGATTTTAAAAAACACATCAAATGTAAGTAATTACTAAAAATTATTTTAAATTATACGTAAATATATATTTTTCTTTCAAACGTTGAGGTTTGCTTAAAAAGTTGAAAAACAGGCAAATGTTTTATTTTATTTAAGATTAATAAAAAGTTTTCATTTTTAATTTAATTGTTTTGTTTACAATTTAAGTAAAAGTTTCATATTTAGAATTTAAATAGAACATTCGTTGTATTATAATTATTTTAATTATTCTATTTAGATTTTAAATAAAGCCTTTGTTTTGCTGATTTTAGTTTATTTAAAATAGCAAATACAATTAAAATTTAAAATTCTAAGATCAGCAAAAAATTGCTGACTTTAGAAACAGTCAGGCCAGCAGTTAGGTTGGTCTTATCATAAAGTTATTCATTATGGATTTTACTATGCTGCCTACATTATGCTAAATACTTTTTTGTTCGGTAGTATTTAACTTTAAAGATGTCTTTATGTAACTGGTGATAACTAAAAAATGAGAATAATTGTAACCTTCTTATATTGAACCACAAAAGTCAAAAAAAGAAAAGTATATCTATGTGAAACTATACTCTCACTGTTTACAAATTTATCATATATTTTGTTTTAGCTGTCAAAAATTTATCATATGTTTTGTTTAAAATGCTGTCAAAAAAGTCATACTACACTGTAAAGTTCTATTGAATGCACAAAAATCTCAAGAAAAAATATTTTCTGTAAATCAAATATTTAAAAAATATTTACTTTAAAACTGAAATTGTTTTAGTTTCAGCTATTTACCATATTTTGGGATCCTCAACAACCAATCGTAAAAATGGTAGTGGAAGACCAGCTAAAATAATGAACAAGTAGGGCTGTTTGCTTCATGGTACTTTCAACAACAATGATTCAATAAGTCAATGAGATGCTGCAGAAAAGTTTAATTGTACGAAAAGTTTTACGCAGCCTTATATCTGCAAAATTTTAAAAAACAAGAAGTCTGCACAAAAAATAAAAAAACCGGAATATACCAAGCAACAAATATCAACCGTAAAATCTCAATGCCACTCACAGTGGACCAGAGAGACCGCCAGGTTTTATGTCGTGTCAATTAAACGAAACTTTTTTTATTTATTAGTATTTATTTTATAATAATAGAAAAAGTTGTTTTTAAAATCTAAACCAAGTGCTAAGGGTCCCAAATGGGGCAAAAGGGAAGATTGAGGGGCCCCAAACCCATTTAAGATTTTTTTTTAATTTTAATTTTTTTTTCTCTCACTGAATTCATTTTAGAAGTTTAGATTTGTAAAATTATTTAAAATTTATTATCTTTCATTAGTCAGGTACAGTGCCCCTAGAAGCTAGTAAAAAATATAAAATTCTTATTTTTTTATTTATTTATCAATCTTTATTTTTTAATTTAAATGAATTGAATAAAATTTAAAACAATAAAATGACTAATATTTACAAATACTACTGACATATGGAACATAAAGCACCTAAACATTACTAACTCTTCTTCCGTTAAAATCAATAACAGAAGAGAGGAGTCTTCCACCATATTCTTTGTTTGCAACTTGTCGTTTGAACCTGTTCCACGTTGGTTTGAATTTTGAGTGAATTGATTCTCCACATTGTTCAGCAAACTTAGACAAACCACATTTGTGATGTTCAACAAAAGGTTGCACATGACACAAAAGTATATGTACTTTCCAACTAATTGAAAGTTTTTTTCCGAGAATATCTGCAATTTCTTGAGCAGATAAAAAGGAGTTCTTAAATTTTAGAATGGCTTGCTGATACCCAAGCTCAAGTGTTCTACCAAAGCAAGAGTCTTTAACAATCTTTAAGTCTTTTAAACATTGAACAATTGGCAGAAGATCAGGATATTCATACAAAACAACTCTTTCCAACTCATCAACACACTTTAGTATCTGGTTTGAATTATTCCCATCCCAACCTCTACCTTGATATCCTCTTTGTAGAACACCACTATTTTTCAAAAAAATATCAAAACCTGGCCAAAGATCCAATAATAAACACCCCAGTGTTGTTACTATTCCTATCAGGATATGTAATTCAGGGGGAGGTACTAAATGTTGGATTAGTGTATCTGGATCTTCATCGAGGTAGAGAATTCTTGGATATATTACATTCATAAAATGTTTCATATTAGACTTCTTTGAACTATTTTCTACAGTGTATCTTTGATACCAATAGTCAAGGCTTCCAAGTGTTCGCAGTTTACCACGAACTTCACTTGAGTCTCCTTCACACCAAAGACAAGCTTTTTTACCTGCATGGCTTGATATTCCAAAAACTGCATTAGCACATTTCAAATCAAAAGCTGCTGAAAACTTAACATCTTGTAAATTGAGTTTCTCTAAAATTATTCTTAAATTGAAGTTAGATTCTTGCACATCTTCAACTATGGAGAGGATTTGGCATTGTTGAACACCACTATTTAAGTATAAATTTGAAGTAGTATTTTCATTAACATCGAAAACATTTACAATGACCTTCATGAAACCACCTCCTGCATCCATAGAAATACGAACAAATGCTGACTGGGGATCAAGACAACGTTGAATAATTAAATCAAGAATAAAACTAGACGTGTCTTGAACAAAAACAAGGTCTTTTATAGAAGTGCCACCGGTACTATCAAAGAAGTTGACCTGAAAAATAACAATAAATTTTTGAAAAACTTTTAATGCTATAATTAATTTTCAATACTAAAAGATATAATTGCCACCTTTTCTACTTGATAAAAATACGATAAAGACTCTTCTAAGTCACTCATTTTTCCAAAAATGTTGTTTTCTACAGCCAACTTACTTCCCATTCCTTTTTGAAGAGTAGATATCAATAGCCCCGTTTTATTAAGGGAAAGTTCTAAAACTATTTGAAGTTCTTTAATCATCTGAAGAGATACTTGTTTAACTGACCTAGGTATAAATGAACAAAATATTAATATCTTATCATTTGATAAATATGTACTCAACAGTATATATGTACCTTCTATTTGCTTTGTTATCAGGACATCCAACTGTAATCATCAATGGGTTTCCACCAGAAGACAAAATAAATTGTTCCCCTTTCGCAATTTCATCAGTCTCCATTTTTGCTTTTATTATACCAGATGCAACTTGCTCTGCTTGCAAATTTCCTAGACTTAATGCTAATAAGATCAGGTTCTCTACTGCAGATAAAGAAGAGCAGTTGTGTAAATATCCTTTTGCAATAGTTGAAAAGCATATACTATATAATTTAGAAGACATACTTGAGTTTGATATATTAGGAACTTCCTCGGTTTGAATTGTTGAAGACGAAGCTGTTCTTGTCATCATCCTCCATTCAATCTTGAATAAATTATATATAATATATATATATATATATATATATATATATATATATATATATATATATATATATATATATATATATATATATATATATATATATATATATATGTTATTATTATTATTATTATTATTATATATGTATATATATATGTTATTATTATTATTATTATTATTATTATTATATATATATATATATATATTATATATATATATATATATATATATATATATATATATATATATATATATATATATATATATATATATATATATATATATATATATATATATATATATATATATATATATATACTATAATAATAATAATAACATATATATATATATATATATATATATATATATATATATATATATATATATATATATATATATAAATTAAATGAACTTGATATTTTGTTCAATATTTACATACTTTGGCAATCTTTTCTCCCCATGAACCTCGAGGAGGTTTTCCAGCTTTTAGTAGGTAGAGATTTCTCTGACATCCAGAACATATAACATTAGGATAGCTGCACACATCCAGAGAATATCCTGGATAAACAAACAACTTCATCAGTTCTTCTACCGTTGAATTTACACTAATTAAAGATTTAGACCTGGCTCCAAACATTTTCCAACAACAGCAGCACACAGCATTTCGTTGAAAAGCAATATTATCCATTTAAACAAGTTAAAAAAAAACTAACAATCCTCTATTTTTTATAATCTGCAATATAAGATATTAAACTATTAGATCTATTATACATATATATATATATATATATATATATATATATATATATATATATATATATATATATATATATATATATATATATATATATATATATATATATATTGCTTTTATAATATTTGACAAATTTTATAGAAGCACAATGTCCACATATAAGTCAATAATTATGCCATCTTTTATGCGATTATTTAAACTTCTTTATATAATCGCGCACCCTGGATTTTATTTGCTATGCAAAAGAATTACATTTTTAATGTTGCTTAACTTGTTATTGTTAGTTAAGGTTTCTTTATAAACAAAAATTTATGTCTACTATTATTTCCATCATTTAAAGAATATCAGCTTCTAAATATCTTATTTATAATAATAAGACGAACATTTTACAGCAATTAGAAATTAATGATAATAAAAACCAGTTCTTTCAAACGTCATAAATAGTTACTTTTTTTCCGTTAAATTGTTAAAGGCGCAAAAAGGAATTTTTAAAAAAATGTTTGTTTTTTACATTTTAATACATATATTTTTAATTTCAAATGTAAAATAGACCACTTGGAAGAAACTTTCAGACCTATGTTTTTATATGATTTCAAATCAGTATAATATTTTCGATCATAATCAATCATAAAAATAGTGGGTGTAAAACTACTTTAATACCCTATTTTGCCCCATTTGGGACCCTTAGCACTTGGTTTAGATTTTAAAAACAACTTTTTCTATTATTATAAAATAAATATAATTAAATAAAAAAAATTTCGTTTAATTGACACGACATAAAACCTGGCGGTCTCTCTGGTCCACTGTGCACTGGATGACCCGAAATTACTCTGGAAAATATTTTGTTTTGTTTGAAGAAAGTTACTTCCCCCTTTCCAAAATGCAAGTTCCAGGAAATGATCAAAATTATGCAGATAAAAGATAAAAAACACCTGTTTCTAAAACCTTTTACAAATCTAAACCATTAATCTTTTTGTTGTGTTGAGAAAAAAAAGTTTATATTTTGAAAAACCAAAAGTATTGTACTAATACTTTTTTGTGCAGGCTTAAAACTTTTGTTGTGCAGGCTATTTCTATTTTTGTGCAGGCTATTTCTTTTTTTTTGCAGGCTATTTCTATTTTTGTGCAGGCTATTTCTTTTTTTTTTTTGCAGGCTATTTCTATTTTTGTGCAGGCAACATTTCTATTTGCACTGATATTTTTGATAAAAGTTTTGATAAACAAGGTCACAAAGAAATTAAAACTATTTTGGATAAATTATTTTCGATTTTAAAAGTAGTTTTTTCACATATTGTTGCTCTCGGTTTCATTTGTTTTTGTTTTGCTCTGCTTTTGCTGGTCTAAGTTTTTGTTTCTTACATATTTTATGTTTGAATAAATATTAAGTAAAACCCTGATAATTCTTGCTTTAGCTATCAATAAATTTTTTTGGGATAATAACAATATAAGAGTAAAAAAATGCAGTTATTTAATAACAGATTAATTGTTGTTAAATTTATTTTAAATGTGTTTAAATATATTTAAAATAAAAGCAATTATAATGAAAACAGCATATTTGTAAAAATTAACAAATAACCATAAAAATGAAACTGGTTTGCTTTAAAGTTGCTACATGTTAAAGTTGTGTACAAAAGTTTAGGACTTTTCAAGTAAATAGCTTACCTGTAACATACCGTTGCATACTTTTTTTTTCCAAGTAATTTGTCTAATTCTTTAACATGCTAAGTATTCAACACAAAAAATTTTGACATGCATGTCCTTTAGAACTTGTTTAAAACATGTATCATAATAAATACAATCTAATTTAATCTCTCTGTTTATTTTTGTATTTATTATTTATACTTTTTATTTTTTTATCCTTTATTTTTTGCTGTTGTAAATAAAAACACCCTCATTATTAAAATATTATTTGTATTAAAGCAAAAGATATTACTATCAATATTATAAGATGTTTTTTTTCAATTAGTTAATAATTTTTTTAAATTAAAACTTTGTTTTTCTTTTTTCAACTTTTTTTTAATTATTCAAGTCAGTTATTTTGCAGTGAAAACTCTGTGAAATTAGTTGTTCAGCAAAGTGGTGATCTTTTTTTATAATACATACTTTACATATCAGCTATATATTGACTACACAATGTAACAAAAAAAAAAAATTTTTCTGTTTATCAAAAATTTTTGATGTTTCTTAATTAATTTGAGTATGCTGAGTCTGAATATGACATTGGATTTTTTATTGCATCAATCGCTTGGTCGTAAAACCAAAAAATCAATTAAACATATAATTAATATAAATCGTTTTGCATTAGATTCTACTTTAGTCAATATAAAACATTTACTAATTCAAAAGTGTTATGTTATGTTACAAAACTTCATGTTACATCATGTTTCTTACATAATGTTACATTATATTGTATTGTAACAGTCTCTCACAATCTCAAAAAACACTAAAAGTGAACAGTAGAACGAGGTTTTCTTTTATGAAGTTTCTCGTCATCGCGTATCAAACACCAGATGTAGTCACCCATCATAGCTGCATCCCATCTGCCCTGGTATCTTTTCTCCATTGCAAGAATATCCTGATGGAAACGTTCCCCGTGCTCTTCACTCACATCACCCAAATTTGGTCTGAAAAATTCCAAGTGTGAATGCAGGTAATGCAGCTTTATTGACATTCTGCATTTCATATCTGCGTACCGTACAATTAAGTTTTCCACTATCTCTTTGTAGTTATCACTCTTATTGTTGCCTAAAAAGCTATGAACAACATGTCTAAATGCAGTCCATGCTTCTTTTTCAACAGCAGACATTTTGTCCTCAAGCTCCTTATATGCCAACATAACTTTAATCTGTGGACCAACGAATATACCTGCTGAAATTTTTGCATCTGACACCTTTGGAAACATCTGCCGAATATGCTGGAATGCTGCACTATCTGGGTTTAATGCTTTGACAAATTGTTTGATAAGACCAAGTTTAATGTGAAGGGGTGGTAGTAAGATCTTTTCAACAGGTATCAGAGATTGATTACTAACATTGTGCGAACCAGGCTGTAAATGTTCTCTCACTGGCCACTCACGTCTTGTGAAGTGCTGGTTTGCAGCCCTGCTATCCCATAAACAAAGAAAACACGAGTACTTTGTGTATCCTCCTTGCAGACCGAGAAGAAATGCTAGCATCTTAAAGTCTCCACATACATCCCACTTGTAACTGTCGTAGTTGATTTTCTCAAGCAACAACTTCACGTTCTTATAGTCTTCCTTTAGATGAACGGAATGAGCTACTGGAATCGAAGGAAATCGGTTTCCGTTATGGAGCAAAACTGCCTTTAGACTTCTTGTTGAGCTGTCAATGAATAATCTCCACTCTTCAGGATTGTGAACAATGTCAATGTCATTGAAAAGACCACGAACGTCATGACAATAGAACAGTGATTCTGATACTACATAAAAGTATGCGAATGTTTCATGTCTTTTTCGGTATTTCGAGGTTCTGCAGCTTGGATCTAATAAATTCCATTCTTTCAAACGTGATGTCAGAAGTTCTGCATTTGATTTAGTGAGACCTAAATCTCGTACTAAGTCATCAAGTTCTTGTTGGTTAGGGAAATGAGGTGAATCATTCGGTTCCCTGAAATCACAGTCATCATTGAGTTCATCCGGTGAGTCTACTTCAGAATGATATGCAGCTGCTTCTTCGGATTGAGGTGGAGTAGGAACAGGCAATTCATCACTGTGTGGAACTGGTCCAATAGAAGATGGTATACTTGGATAAACTAGAGTCAGCCTATCTTTCGGTTTTTTATACTTTGAAATGTCAACAATGCAGAAAAAGCAGTCATCATGATGGTTCGTCGCTCCTCTCCATATTCTCGGAATCGCAAAGGGCATTGACTTTCGGATTCCACGCAGCCATCCTTCCAGAGTTGATCTGCAGCTACCACAACTGTAGTGTGGTGCCCACGATTTGTCCTGATCTCCCATAGCCATGCCAAAATAAGCATGATATGCAGTAAAGAATTTTGTACCACTGACAATCTTATGTTTAGCTTGTGTTGGACTAATATAGTAACCACAAACATAACAGAATGAGTCAGGACAAAGCTTGCAGGATCTACTAGACATATTCACTACTTCATGTAACAGTTGTAATTAGTTAAACTGAAAATAAACACACGAATATAGTTAAAATCAGCATATATATATAATGTTTTAATTGCATTACACATATACGAAAACTCCGAAATATACTTTATGCTTTTTCTCAGGAAATCTTGATGATAGAGAAAAACCAATGGTACCACTGAAATCAGCATACAAAAATTATGTAAGAAACATTAAAAAATTAACATAAACAAAAATGTTGTTACATGGTGCTATAGAAGGTTGTAATATAAATCTAACATTTTTATAACAAATTATAAACTTTTTTCTTTAATATTACATATATGTTATATTTAAATTACATTATAAAAAAAAAAAATTCTTTTGTTTTGCATAATTTGCATAATTTAACTGAATTTACATAAAAACATTTTATAACTATGAGATATTTTAACTAAAAAGTAATTGTTACAAATATACAAAGAAAGTAAAATAAATGTAAAAAAAAAAAAGAAGTTTGGTTTAAAACAAAGTTTTTGTCATTTAGACAGAAAAAAAGCAACTTGTTCAGGCTGGAAAGTGTTCTCCCTACTACTTACAAAGTAAACCAGGTAGTTATGTTTTTATTAAATTTGACATAGTTATTGAGAATTGTTATTTTAAACCAGGTAGTTATGTTTTGTTTTTATTAAGCTTCACATCATTATTGAGAATTGTTATGTTATTGTTATGTTGCCTTAGAACAAAAACAAGTTTTTTCATAGTTGTGTTGTATTTTTACCATTAAGATTATAAAATTTATATATTTTTTCAGCTTCATACTGAGTGTGTATATATATATATATATATATATATATATATATATATATATATATATATATATATATATATATATATATATATATATATATATATATATATATGTATATATATATATATATATTTATATATATATATATATATATATATATATGTATATATCAGGCCTTGCGATGAATAAGAACTGCGCGACGCATAAGCACGACGTGATTTTTGACGTCATTAAATTCTTTTTATTTGCTTTTCATATTTATCGACATTAACTGCACCAATTTACTTAATTACCGCAAAACTACTTTAAATCGTTTATGTAGAAATGTTATTATTTAAAAATGTTTTGGAATGTTTCGTTTTTTAAAATGTAAAAACATTTGTTTATTTTCTCGACGTTTGTCGCGTTTTGTCTATACTAAACGAATAAAAAACATTATAACTTAAATTTAAAAAAGATTATAAAATATGCTAATATTTGATTTTTTTTTTCTTAAATATGTAATTTAAAGTTTTTCAAATAATTATTTTTTCTTTTTAAAAAGTCAGCGAGTAATAAACTGAAAATTTTATAGCTAATATTTTTACAAGCGATTTTATATAATATTTATTTATTTATTTTTATTTATTTTCAAAAAGCAGTTGATAAGCACAATCACTCGTATTAATAAAAAACTTAAACGAACGTTTTCAATAATTTTTAATGTTAACAAGGAATTTTATTTCTAGTAAAATAAAATAAAATGTTAGAATAAAAATCTTATAGGTATAAAAGAAATATTTCAGCAAAAAAATTATTCTTAAAATTATTATTATAAATTATTCGAAAAACTATTGACGTTCTATTTTTCAGCAGCTGTTTTTGAGCACGCTTCGTTGAGTTTTGATAACTTTTAACATAAAAGCGATCGTTATTATTTAAGTAATTTTTTTGAGTTACTTTTTACAAAAATTTTAATAACTGTACTTTTTTATTGAATCAAGTAGAATACGTTTTAATATTATTATTTTTTTATTTTTTTATTTGCCCTCACCAATTTTTAAAATGTTTCCTCGAAATTACTCTTAAATACTTTAAATACATCTAACAGTTAATAAATATTTTTAAATCTATGGAATAATTTTAAAACCTAACAAACCCCCGTAAAATAATTATTTAAGTTTAAAATCTAAAGCTAAAAGAAAGTATTTTTGTTCAATTTTATCGACAACTTTGCTATTGCTGAATAATTTTAATTAAATGTTAGCTTAAAAGATTTAAACTTTTTTTTTAATTTTTGAATTTTTTCTACTTGTAAATAATGAGCATATTTAATTTTTTTAAATTCAAACTTTTATTTCAACAGAGTGCGGTTTTTAAAATACTTTATTAAATCTTCAAATTATCGTAAATTACTTCATTAAAATTCCGCTCAAAAATATCTTTAAATATACTCAAACAAAAAATATTTTGCTCGACGCAAATGGCTCTAGCTACACGCAAAATTGCTCTTGGACGACGTAAAATTCACATCGCCCGACGCTTTATCGCAAGGCCTGATATATATATATATATATATATATATATATATATATATATATATATATATATATATATATATATATATATACACTCAGTATGAAGCCTCACTATGAAACCTCACTAAAACACAATTTTGGAATCTAAAAAAGCTATGTTTTATAAATTGATCATTGTGTGCTGAAAAAGGCATTCAGATAATAATGTAGATTCCCTTGATGAGTTATATATATACCACATATAACTGACCAAATTTACAATTTAAGCTTGGTTATCGTACCTCAACAGTGACATTCTCAAACTCCAGCACATTCAGCATCATGCAACAAAGCAATAACTGCTCTATAACACCATACTTATGAGAATTATAAATATTTAAAAAGATTTAAATATTTGGACTGACTATACTAGTTGAAAATCGTGGATTTTAATACTAATCGTGTAATATTTTGAAAATTGTTAGAAACAGTTTTTTGTATCGATTACTGAATAAACTGAATGAAACTAAACTATTATGTATAATGGCACAGATCCAACAGCACATTTAAAAGTTTGAAAATATTGTCTCTTTTTATTGGGAACAATGAAAGCGGAACAACTTAACGAGTGTTCAACTTAGCGAGGGTATCAACTTTGAGATAATAGTTATTAACGAAGAGATATTAGTTTGAGTTGAGGCTCATTATTTGAGCCTCATGAGTTGAGGCTCAATATTTCTTTATTTAATGCAAAAGTACAAGTAAACATACACTATTATACTAAGAAAAAAATGAAAAATGTTTTGAGTACGAAGTTGCATGTTTTATTCACCCTGTACACTCAAAATATTGAAAAAAATTTAGAAACACGATGACCTTATTATTTTGTAATAAAATTGCATGTGCTCATTTATTCCCTTGGCGGGAATAAATGAGCACAAGAGCTTCCGCTGTGGCTCTCGTGCTCATTTATTCCCGCCGAGGCCTATATATATATATATATATATATATATATATATATATATATATATATATATATATATATATATATATATATATATATATATATGTGTGTATATATATATATATATATATATATATATATATATATATATATATATATATATATATATATATATATATATATATATATGTATGTATGTATATATGTATATGTATATATATATATGTATATATATATAGATATATATTTAATACGTATATATATAAATTTATATCATTTATATTTATGATATTTAATGACTTAAAACTTATTGTTTTTAAGTCTGGAGTCCTGGAGGCCAGGAGTCCTTGCTGTCATTATACCTAAGGACTCCAGGTTCAAAAATTGATTGTTCTTCTTAGTAGCCCATAAGCTTTTTTATATTTTTAAAGCTCCTATATACCAAAAACTAGAAAGAAGTAAAAGTAGAAAGTTCTTTTTGTGACTTTCAAATCCGTAATCCTTTTTGGGACTCCGCATCCCTGATATATATATTAGTGATGTACAGGCTTGGTCAGCAAGGCTGTACATCCCTGATATATATATTAGTGATGTACAGGCTTGGTCAGCATTTCTTAATTAAGTTCCAGCTTCTCTCTAACTGTTGACTAATGATTAATATAGTAAATTTCACACCATAATAAGTTTACAAAATTAAAACCATGTTTCAACAGCAACTAAAAAAAAAAAAAGAACACAATTATGTTTGAGATAACAAAAAAAAAAATAAAAAATAAAATAAAATCATTTAAATTTGAAACTGTTATTAATTGTTACTATAAACAGTAAAATTCATACTTTGCTTTATTCTAAAGTGATTAATGTAAAATCAAATTAATAGACATCAACACTGCTTCACACTGAATTCTGGCAAGTAAGTTTTCTTTTCATCGAGCAGAATTTCTTACATTTCAACAAAAATTAATTTTATCATGCCTAGATCTATCTCTTTCATTTTTTTCAAGTCGCCTATTACTATTTACACTTATAACTTCTTTGAGCCTAATATTATACATCTGTTATCATTAAACATATTACCAGTGATTATAATACTGTTACAACTGAATAAATGAACTTAAATTAATTTTACGTTCATTTTATAACTTTTCTAATCAAAGACTGTATTTTAAGTTAAGATTTATTGATATTCATATATTTTTATAAGTTTATAAAAGAAGTCGTTTATTAAAAATATAAAACAAAATTTATTTACATTATTTTTAATTTAACAAAGAATTTAGACTACAATGCACAAAGTTATTTTTACCTTCAGGCACAATCTTAATGCACAAAAATAATAAATGCAGAATCTTGTATAAAAAATGAAGCAATGTCAGTCTAAATTAATATATGTATATATATTCAAATTTTTCTATTCTATTTTATTTTTTCTTTGAGATAATATTTATATAGATACAGAGAAATATAAAATATACTGAAATATAGGCACATTTATGCATATAAACTTACCTGTCAACAAATTACAGTCAGTTTTCCATGTTAAATACATAAAATATATATCTAATATAAAATTAACCAAATATAAAATAAAACAAAATGTTAAACTTACTTAAATCAGTAACAGTTTGACTGTCTAAAAATTTTTATAATTATTAACCCTTCTATTTAAATAAAAACAAACAATTGATTTGAAGTGACTAAAAAGCACTTCAGCTCTTTCCAATTGCACTAAAAAATAAAACAAATCTTGCTTCGCTAAGTTGCCTAGTTCTATAAAATCTGAAAACAAATAAGTAAAATACTAAGAACAAACAAACATTTATTTTTTAAAACGACTTTAAACAAATTAAATTAAACAGAAAACAACATTATTTGTCCTTGAAAGCTGAAAAACTTTTCAGCTCAAATTTGTCTGCAGACCTTGCTTGTAAAGCCACTTCAAAAAAAAAAGCCTAGAAACTACTCAAAATTTAAAAAAGCCTAAAACTACTTAAAAATGGTATATGCCACATTAATTTAAAATGTTGACTGGACTAATTATCAGTAGATATTTTTAAAAAAATTTAAAATTTTCAATGATTTGAAATTTTCTTCTATACCACATAAATACATCATATGATAAATTTGAAGTTAAAAAATGTAACAAATAAATATACAAAGAAAAACATATATGAATTGAAAATGAATGTACCTGATAGAGATAAGCTGTTGTGATACCAGAGTAGTTGTTAAATATTGTTATCTCATGATAAACAAAATGTAATCATGGAAACGACATTATATAAACATATACTAACTATAAAATACAATATATATTTTTAATGTTATATAACATATAAAAACACCTAATTTAATTAAATGTTAATTAACAATCATAAATATATTAGATAAAATACATTTATAAAACAACTATATAACATATCACCACATACATATATTTATCAAAAACTTTTAACTTTGAGCATAATATAAACATATATGCAAACTATAAACATATAACTTGAATTAGGCAAACAAAAAAATTAAAAAGATTTATATATATTCATATATAAAGATGTTGTCATGGCTTTTATCCCAATTATTAAAATTATAGTAATCTATATTTTCAATATTAACATCTATAACACGAAGCTCTAAATTTAAAAGTACAATTTAAAAAACGATTACAATAAATAAAGTTTTTAAAAAATTTTATATTTCCTATAATTTAAGTCTGCTAAACATTATCTACTTAATGTTTACTTAAACATTTTGAACTCGTACCATGAAAGGTCGTGAATTTTTTAAGAAAGCACTTGGTTAAGAAAAGTCTAGAAACTACTTAAATACTAAGAATACAGAACCGTAACTAACAATTAGCGTAACTATGCGCACTAATAATAATATTCACTGCGTTAATAATATTTAGATTATTATAATGCAAGAAAAAATATTAAAATGCCATTGGTTTGAAAATCAGTAAAGGAGGCCGATACCGATTCTGATTGTACAAAAAGTAACTGATTAAGCCGATGTCAATACCGATTAATCGGTACATCACTAATATATATTTCTATATATATATGTGTGTGTGTGTGTATATATATATATATATATATATATATATATATATATATATATATATATATATATATATATATATATATATATATATATATATATGTATTTTTAAAATGTCTTCAATAATATATTTTTTTTTTAGCAAACGCAAATTTAAATATATGATTTTGTAATATTTAGTGTTCTATCGGTGTGTGCCAGAGATGTTTGCAAATGCAATAACCTCTCTTGGAATTATCAACATAGATGGCACAAAAGTAAATGGATCTAACATTGAACTAGGAAAAGAGTAAGTACACAGTTTGAATAATTTGAAGAGAAAATAAAAAAAATTAGTACTCACACAAGTTTTGTATTTGTGCACATTTTTTGTTGTACAAGATGTAGTTTTTTAAATATCTTTAAAAATATTTTAGTGCATTAAATATCTTGCTAAACTTCAGAAATCTTGGCATGCAGGTAATTTAAATTTTATATACTATTTAAAGAAGTAATATGTATATATATATATATATATATATATATATATATATATATATATATATATATATATATATATATATATATATATATACAGGCTTGGTCGGGAAGCGGGAGCGATCGCTCTCGAATACTGACCACGGAAATTATATTTAGTTGCGTAAAACTGGCCAGGTTTTTTAGTCGTTTTGAGAACATTTAAGTTTATGTACGAAACAAAAAATTTTTGTTTTACGGACATACATGGAAACATAAAAAACTTGAATGTTCTCAAAACATCTTTGTGCGAAAGAATAAAAAGAATATTTGCGAACACTAAAAACCCGCCAAATTAATGAACAAACTAATTCTATTGGTTCAAAAAATACGCTGTTTAAGCGAAATAAAGTTCTAGAGTATTCTGTTAAAATGTTTTAAAAAATTGTATTATACACGATTTGTTACGTTTTGAGATTTCTAGCATTGTTTTAAGAATATATATTATTTGTTTACAAAAATAAATGTTTTAAATATAGTTGATTAAATTGTTAAAATTTTAAAAGTTTATTATAAATCATAGATTTTATTAGTATATTCTTATTTTTTATTTTAAAAGAGATTGTATTCTTTATGTAAATGTAATTTTATGTATTTGTTTTTTATCGTAATGTATCTTTTAAAGCAATTTTTATGATTTAAACAAAGACTTACAAAAATAATTGCGTTTTCAATGAAGTTATAATCGTTAAAGTTAATAAAACTAATTATGTAACAAACATATAAGTAGTTTCTGGTTACTAAACACAAAAAACGCATACAAAGTAACTCGCAGATGAACAAGCATCGCGCCTGAGGTCACGACAGAACACAAATATATATAGCAAATAATTAGATATAAAGAAAAGTTTCTAGATATTGGTTTACTTACTCTAATTATTTTCGCTTAAGTTGCAATTCTTAAAACTCGTTATACTTTTTTCTGCTTTAAATACTAATTAAAATTAAAAAGCCCACTCACTAAACATCATCAGCGATATTGCGAAGCAGTTTCGCTTCCTGGTCATTAAGTATTTTTAACCTTTTTAGTTGATTTCTATCTTGATTATTTAATTCCTATAGTAATTCAATGATTTAATTATTTCATTTGTTTATCTTACTAAGAAGAATCGCTTCAAATATGTTAAAGTTTTCAAACTACGCGAAATATAAAATAGGTATTAAAAAAATTAACTTTTTTATTTATAAAATAATTTAGCTTAAGTAAAACTAAAACTTGCAAACTTAGTTAAATAAAGAATATTTATTTCCCTTTTAAACAATCGTAAGTTGTTACTTTATATAAAAAACATCGCTTAATTTTATTTTTTTTGTAATTGTCTCTCATCGGTCCAATTAATCTTCATCGCTTTTTTTTTTTTTTGCTTTTTAAAATGTTCTCAAAACGACTAAAAATCTGGCCGGCTTTTCGCAATTAAATATTATTTACGTGGTCAGCAATCGAGAGCGATCGCTCCCGCTTCCCGACCAAGCCTATATATATATATATATATATATATATATATATATATATATATATATATATATATATATATATATATATATATATATATATATATATATATATATATATATATATATATATACTAGCAAAAAGCAACCCGTAATACCGGTTACAGTCAGTCTGTTATATAACTAATTTATAGTGGCTGTTATCCACAATTTAATGTTGCAAAACCTTAACTAATACCTTTTTATAATAACGCCTTCAAATTGAAAAAATTAATCCATCTGTAAAATTAACATAAAAAGTATGAGGAGGTAAAATAATTTACCAACTACTACTTAACATTTACAACTACTACTTAACATTATTTGTAATTTACTACTTAACATTATTTGTAATAGAGTAATTTACGACTGACATAAGTTATAACAGTGTAAAGCAAAACCATTTTCCTCGACATTCCTAAGTTCAACACAATACGTTTTTAGTTACTGACACAAAATAATAACACTTCATCATGCTTTAAATTAACGAAAGTATCAACTAAATCCTTGTAATAATTTTTATAACATGAACTTTAATTAAGAACTATTAAGATTAAGTTAACTTATATTATACAGGAGTCAATTTTTGGTACCCCATTAATTTTTCTTTAGAAAAGAAAATTGTTAACTTAAAACGTTAAAGGCACACAACTAAATAAATTTATTAAAAATAACTAAGTTTATTATAAATAACTAAGCACAAATACTTTTCAAACAAACAAAATTTAATTTACAATCAAACATTCATATAACAAATTTAAAAAAATATGTAAACTCTGATCTTTCATATTGCATTAATGCGTCATATAACAAACCTAAAATTGTTACAGATAAGTAGACATAAAAATTTGTAATCCAAGCTGACTGGACCAGGGTCTTGTTAAGTCTGCTCAACACATTTACCAAAATAATAAAATGTAAAACAATGGTTTACATATATAAGAATGTTTTCTTTCTTTCCTCAAAAGTGTTGCAAATGCAGACTAAGCTAAATAATTAGTTAAACACGTAAATAAAACTTAAGTAACTCAATATTTGACAAATGCGCCAAACATTCTACATGTTTTTAAAGGTTTTTAGTTACGACCACCCGTTTACAAAGATCCCTAAAAATATGTACAACAAATTATTAGGCATAAAATAGATAAAATATAAAAAAAATTGAACTAATTGCATATATTTATATCTTTTTAACTAACAAAAATTTACAATAAAAGGAAATCAGATTTTTTTTTTATAAATCTTATAAATGCGTCATAACATAAAGCTAAAATAAAAAAGTAATGGAATTATGGTATCATAATTACAAAAAACAACAACAACAACAAAAAACACCACACAAAAACTGAAAATTGATTTACCTATTTTTATATTGCAGTTAATTTATCGAAATAAATATTTAAATTTTATGAAAATATCATTTATCGAAAATATAACTGTAAAATCTGTTTCAAAGTACAAAAGGATTAACGATAAAAAAAATACAAAAAAAAAAATCAAACTAAGATATAAATTGCATTTTTAGCAAAATGTTGTCTTGGCTTTTAGTAAATAAATAAAAGCAGTAAGTTCCAATGATGAAACACTATTTATTATTTATTTTTAACAATAGACACCAACGGTAAGGTGAGCCAAGCTGTCTATCAACACAAAACATCACAACAATAACATTACAACAATAACACATAACAATAAAATCCAGTGAAAATAACCAAATAAATTGAAATATGAAAGGCAAAATTAAAAAACTTATTTAGAGTTAACTATATTTAACTTTTAACTTTAATAAACAAATATTTGTTTTATATTCAATATTAGCTATTCCATTATTTCAAATTTAGGACATGAAAGCACCCTAAATTTAAAGATTAAGGTTGCATACTCTCTCATAAACATTATGCTAAACATTAACAGACTTTATTATGTGTTTCCAGAATAGTTAGAAAAAGGCTAGACAACACAACCTAGCTCTAAAGCAGTAACACCGCTTGGCACTAAATGGCACTATAGTCACACCTCTGCTATAAGTACACCGCTTGGCTGGCAAGGTTATCAAACTTGCTCAACATAATACCAAGTTACACCACTTTGAAAATATGGAAACAACATAATTTAAAAATATATACAACTATAATTAAATATGACTTTAAATAACACATATAAACACATTTTATAACAATATTAAATGACAGATATATTTATCAAAAACTATGAAAAAAATTTATAATAATAATATAGTTATGCGTATATAAAAATATATATATATAAATAATATAAATATACATAATAATAATATTTATATAAAAATATAATAATAATATAGTTATACAAAATGTGCTCACAAACTTTAATAGTAAATTTTTGAAATGAAAATCTAAAGACTATAAATTAAGAACATTAGAAAATATAACATAATTTGAATAATACTTTTCACCTACCATACCTTGAATAGGATGTTTATCAATTTTGAAAAACAAACTATTAAATTCTCTAGTTCTTGAACATGCAACATATGGTTGACCATGAGAGAGACACGGTTTTTGAGATGTTTTTTGTCTTCAAGTTCAATTTTGCGTTGAAAAAAAAAAAGGGACAATTATAGTTAAACAATTTAAAGAATTATATCTTTAAATAGCAAGCAACTCCTAAAATATATCTTATAAATGGTCATTATCAATTGTAGTATTAAAAAATATGCAAGAGCTCAGTAATTACATGAATTTTATTAATTCTCCCAGTACTAATTCTCATTTAAGTTTCATCTGAGAGAGAAAGAAAAAGTGTTTCAAAAGCAGCATGTTAAAAAAAGTAAAAAAAGACATGCAATAAATAGTAACTGGTTTATTATGCTACAATTAAACAAAATTATTTTTACCTTAACTAAAAGTTAATTTCCAGCATTTCTTAATAAAGTTCCAGCTTCTCTCTTACTGTTGACTAATGATTAATATAGTAAATTTCACAACATTAAATTTACAAAATTAAAACCATGTTTCAACAGTAAGCAAAATAATCAAGTGATGACAAAGACAACTAAAAAGAAAGAACACAATTATGTTTAAGATTACAAAAAAAAAAAAAAAAAAAATTTAAATCAGTTAAATTTGAAACAGCTATTGTTACTATAAATAGCAAAATTCATACTTTGCTTTATTCTAATGTGCCTAATGTAAAATCAAATTAATAGACATCAACACTTGACACTGAATTTTGGCAAGTAAGTTTTCTGTTTATCAAGCAGAATTTCTTACATTTTAATGACAATTAATTTTATCATCCACAGATCTATCTCTTTCATTTGAAAACAATTTTTTTCAAGTTGCTTATTATCAGTTACTAATAACTTCTTCGAGCCTAATATTATACATCTGTTATCACTAATATTATACATCTTTTATCACTAAACATATTATCTGTGATTATACAACTGTTAAAACTAAATAAATGAACGTAAAATAATTTTACTAAATGTGATCTTTCCTAATCAAAGACTTTATTTTTAATTAAAACTTATTGGTATCCATATATTTTTATAAGTTTATATATAGAAGTTGTTTATTAAAAATATAAAATAAAATTTATTTACATTATTTCTATTTAACAAAAAATTTAGACTACAATGCACAAAGTTATTTTTACCTTCAGGCACAATCTTAATGCACAAAAATAATAAATGCAGAATCTTGTATAAAAAATGAAGCAATGTCAGTCTAAATTAATATATGTATATATATTCAAATTTTTTTATTCTATTTTATTTTTTCTTTGAGATAATATTTATATAGATACAGAGAAATATAAAATATACTGAAATATAGGCACATTTATATATATAAACTTACCTGTCAACAAATTACAGTCAGTTTTCAATGTTAAATACATAAAATATATATCCAATATTTAATAAATCCAATATATAATAAAACAAAATATTAAACTTACTTAAATAAGTAACAAAATATTAAACTTACTTAAATAAATGTTGTTTGTTCTTGATTTTTTACTTATTTGTTTTCACATTCTTAAAAACTAGGCAACTTAGCAAAGCAAGATTTGTTTTATTTTGTTAGTGCAATTAGAAAGAGCTAGAGTGCTTTTTAGTCACTTTAAATCAAGTTGTTCTTTTTAAATAAAAAGGTTGATAATAATAAAAAATTTTAGACAGTCGAACTGACTGTCTAAAATTTTTTATTATTATCAACCTTTTTACTACTCTATTTAAACAAATTAAATTAAACAGAACAACATTAATTCTCTTTGAAAGCTGAAAAACTGATAAACATATATACTAACTATAAAACACAATATATTTTTTTAATATTATATAGCATATAAAAACACCTCATTTAATAATCATATACACATTAGATAAAATACATTTCATGCTATTATAAAAAGACATTTATATAAACAGATTTATAAAACAACTATATAACATATATCACCATATACACATATTTATCAAAAACTTTTAACTTTGAGCATAATATAAACATATATGCAAATATAAACATATATAACTTGAATTGGGCAAACAAAAAATTTAAAAAGATTCATATATAAAGATGTTATAATGGCTTTTATCCCAACTAATAAAAGCATGTAAAAGCATGAAGCATGAAACTACCTATAAACAACTTTTAACGCTAGACACCATCTAAGAATTATAATAATCTATATTTTCAATATTACCATCTATAACACGAAGCTTTAAATTTAAAAGTACAATTTAAAAGATTGCAATAAATTAGTTACTGAAAAAATTTTTAAAAAGATTTGATATTATCTTTAATTTTAAGCTACTAAACATTATTTACTTAATGTCTACTTAAACATTTTGAACATTTTCATATGTTTAGCAACTGAATTATGATTAATCACAACTCTGGAAACATAAATTTTCTTTTAATTTAAATCTAAATTAACAAACCAATTATAAATAGAAATGCTTACTGCTAGTATTTTTAGTATCTAAATAACTAAACAAAATAAACATAAATAAAAATGAAAACAAATATTTACTGCAAATATTAAGATATAAATAAACAAGCATACAATATCAAATTAATATTTATGAACAAAATTCATTTATATCCAATAAGTTATATTAAATAAAATATTTATTGAAAAGCCATAAAAGTTTGCGTGAAACCAAAGTCAGTAAATAAAAAAAATAGTAAATAAAATAAAAAATCGTTAGGGCATCAACACACAACAAATCTGATACAAATGTTTAAAATGCAAATCCAGCTTAATCTCCTTATTGAAATTTAACCTTTTTTTTAAATATAAAAGCTGACACAACGATCAGCTTGCCTCGTGTATTTTTAAAAGTAGATTGGAAACTATTCATATAATTTGCAATTTTTTAAGCCATCTTTTAAGTCATGTTGGAAGCAAAGATGTTTAAAAAAAAAAAAATTGTTTGCCCTAGAGTATTTTACAGAATACAGAACCGTTACTAATATCGAACAATAGTAACTAACGGCATTCAACATTAATAACTGGACTATTCATATTTAAGAGATTTGTTGTTAAAAGTATTTTTTCTTTTGTACAATTTGTAGATTGCTGACGAGTTAAAGGTGGTTTGGGTATGGATTTTAATGTAAGTTTTATATAATAAGTACATAAATATTTGATAATTTCTCTTTTTAAATAAATACATGTAAACATATTTTTAAATAAATCTTAAATAGAAGTCTCTTTAATAGAGTCTTTTTTCCCTTCAATAAAGTTTATTCATTTATTGAAATTTTTATTTCCCTTTTATTTAAGGGAGATAAAATTTTCCATAAATAAAATCTATTTGGTTGCTAAATCTATTTTGTGCTGAAAACTTTTTTTCTCAGATCTTATCTGAGAAAAATAAAACTTGAGTTATGGAATTTAAAACATTTTTTTTTAAAGACAGATGGAACTTAAAGATGTACTGCATTTTTTTTTAAATATTTGTTGGAGTGTACTTTGAGTTTACTGGCACATTAAGTACAACTCTTTTTTTTTTTTTTTATTCTTTCAATTAAATTAGCTGTTTCAAGAATGAGAGGTTTTTTGGCTTATCCCTTCTCAATTTTGTTTTTGCCTACTTGGCTTTTTTGATATTTTTTTTTTTCAATGATTTATTCAGCATGTGTTCAAAACTTTGAATAAAATTTTGAACATTTGAGAAAAAAGTTTCTTAACAAAAATTTTAGAATATTTTTTTATCATGTATTTTATCATATCAAGTATTACACATCTTTGTAAAACTCTGTTGATTGAAACTTGAGTTGATTGGGTTTTAATATGTTTTATAAAACATATCAAGTATTACACATCTCAGAAAAACTCTAAGCTTATTGGATTTTAAATTGTTGTATTTAAAAAAGAAAAGGTTGGTAAAAAATGGTTTTTAAACAAATATTTGTGTAAATAATGCGATGCATCGATAGCACATTTGTGGCCAATGCTGATACTGATGCCGATAAATGAGAAAAGGCTGATGCCGGTACCAATGAATTAACAAATTATTAAAACTTTGAAAATATTAAACCATACAACTTTGAATTGTGTAAACTTTTTCATGGAATCAGTACTGGTAATCAAATACTTTGACCCAAATCAGAGCCAAGCTATAATTTTAAAAGACATTAGCAAAAATCAGTTAAAAATATAGTTTAGTTTTATATTTTAGTTTTTTAATATGAAAAGAAAACTTTCAAAAACTAAATACAATTTTAGAAAAATGCTTTTTATTTCAATTTTAAAAAGAAATGGTACTAAGATAAGCAGTTTTTTTAGTTTCTTTATTTATTTATTAGTAAATTTTAAAAATTAGATATTTAAATAACAATCATATAGGAATATAGAAGGCTATACTTGAACGCATGAACAATGCTTAAATAGGTTATTTTTAGGTATAGCAATAAAACAACACAAAATAAAATTATTCTAAAAACATGGTAATAAAAGTATAAGTATATTGTTACTATTAAGCTTATAAACATCATCTTAAGAATAAACAAATTTGCCTGTAAACAAAGTAAAAAAAAACAATTTCTCAAAAAAATTCTAAGTAATGCATAAAGTTTAGTCTATTTATTATTTAATTATTATCATAATGCAGAATAAAAATATTAAAATGTCATCGGTTGGAAACTGGGTGAATTAATAAATCAAAAAGCTGATGCCGATTGTGCAAAAAGTGGCCCATTAAGCTGATGCCAATTAATTGATATTATGATAAAACATTCTGTTTATGATAAAAAGTTAGACATAAAAAATGTTAAAAAGTATATTTAATTTGGCTGAAAAAAAAATAATTTGACTCTCTGCTTATTGTCATCTAGTTGATTTGTCTGACAACCACCACTTTCTTATTTTATACACTGAGTGGTATGTTTGTGTTATGTTTTTGTGTTAATTTTAGACTGAAAATTGTTATATATTATAAATTTTTATATATTTGTTTTATTATTGTTTTAGTGGCCTAATCATAGCAATGGTGGCATCAATGTTATACATAATATTAGCAAGGTTTCTTTTTGTCTTAATTTATCATAATTATCATTACCATCTTCATTATAATGACAGCAGGAAGAATGATTAAAATAATTTAAACACTGTTGTTGCTAATTTACAAAATAAAACACCTTGTAGTCACACTTTTATGTAATCTTACCATGATTATTTTATGATAAATCTTACTAAAGAAAAATCTAATAATTGCAGAGTCATTTATTTTACAAGGAAGCACAAAGTTATTAACATGCAAGATGAACACAAAAAACATAGCTGACTAGCAAACACTATTAGAGTTGGAAGTTACTGGAAGAGAAAAGATGAAGTTTATAAAGCAAGATAACAATTAACATATGACTTAAAAGAATGCAAATTATGAATCAGGAAAAACAAGATAATAGGAGCAAATTCCAATGAACTGATGTTCAATGAAAAAAAATAAACAAATTAGAATTTTGGATCACTTAGGAACAGTCACAGTAAAAAGTTGAGGCTTACTTGAATGACGAGTAACACGAGAATGAAGATTGCACAAGAGGCGCTAGCTCTTTAGAACTACACCCATTATAGTATTTATAAAAAAGAGAAAGAGAAGCAATATTACAACAATGTGATAATGGTTGAAGGTTGGATGCAAAAGCAGGTCCAACTATGTTTACAATGTGTTTTTGCACCTTGTCTAAAAGAGAAAAGGCATCATTGGAAGGTTCGCCCCAGATATGGCAACAGTATTCCATACAAGGACGGATTTGAGATTTATAGAGATAAATAAATAGAGTAAAAAAGTGGCAAGCATGGTAAAGAGATGCTCCCTTAGCAGATGCTAATTTTGCAATGGAATAGTAGGGTAGATGACTCATCAAGTACATTACTGTTCACAAATTGTAAGATCTAGATTGTTGCGATAACAATTAGCTAAAAAAAATTGAGTTTTATCTGATTTAAAGTTCACTAGCCAATGAGAGCCCACTACTACTACAGAAGTCCTTTTTGAGCTCAAATGTCCCCTCCAAGCAATCAGAGAGTGTTGGTTTCTTATCAAGACAAAAATATATGATTGCATTGCTAGATTACCCAATAGGCCCAACTAGGCCTAGAGGCCCCATATAACTAGGGGCCCCAAAAAAATTTTAAAAAACAATTTTTCAATTTTAATATTATTTTTATATAACATTTTATTATGAATTAATTAATAATGCAAATTAATGCGATTTAAACATTTGTAATTATTGTTATTCTACTTTATTTATAAAAATATTTAAAATATTTCAGTGCAAGGTAATACTGCAATTAAGCAGCGTATCTTTAAGTTTTTTGCACTGTCATCTGTAGAGACTTGAAAAGTTTTAAAATGTTTAGGAAAAGTGAAGTAAATAAATTTCAAAGTATACTTTGAAATTTATATTTTATATTTTAATAAATAATTTTAAGTAAATAAATTTTAAAGTTATTTTAAAAGCTTTATTGAAATTTATTTACTTTGCTGTTATTACTGATATTGCTTGTTTTTAATAATTGTTTTTTATTTTATCCTTAGTATTGTTAAAAATTTGTTTTGTATTGTCTATTATTTTTTCTTATTTCAAATTTTTAAACTGCGCGCAAAAAGTTGATAATATTATTATATGAAGCAAAGTTTACTTAGTTGTAAAGATGTTTTCTTTTTTGGCTAACTTTGAACTTTTGGAAAATGACTATCGACAGAAGGTATCTAATTTTTATTCTAACAACTTTTTAAAGATTTTTATACAGAATTTATGGAATATCCAGCTACATCAAATTAAAATTTGCATCAAAAACTCAGTTTTCTTATTCTGAACATTATGAAACTTTGGTTAATGACAACCTTGCATCTGTTTTTTCGAGTGTTGAAATTGGTCTTAGCATTTTTTTAACGCTTATGATTACAAGTTGTTTTGTGGAGCACTCATTTTCAAAAATAAAATGAATTTAAAATGAGCAAAGAAGTACCATGCTTCAGGAGAGATTAGATATGCTGAGCTTGAAGAGATTAGATATGCTGAGCTGATCAGATATTTTTCTCCAGATCGATTTTGATGATATATATTTATCAATAAAAGATATAGGAAAAAAATATTTAAGGGCATATTGTATAACAATGCTGATATTGTAAATTGTGATATTCTTTACAAGTTGTTTTTGCAAATGTCATAATTATCAATGTAAAAAAAGATATGTAAAATATATATATAAAAAAAAGTGGTATGTTTAAAAAAATAATAAATACCAGATTTATCACATAATTTTTTATATTTATAAAGAAAAGGCTTATGTGCATTGATAAATATTTACATTAATGAATGTACGTAATTTTATTACTCAAGAATCCTACAAAAATAACTTTTTTAAGCAAAAATAGGGCCTCCAAAAGTTTTAGTGCCTAGGGACCCAGTTTTTCTTAATCTGGCACTGAATGGTAGTATTATCAGCTAACAATGTCACCTTAGATTTGAGAATTTCTAGGAAACCATTAATGTAAATTAAAAAAAGTATAGGCAAAGAAAAGAACATTGATGAACCCCTGAAGTTATGGGTAATGTAGAAGAATTCATTGAGGACAACTTTTATAAAACAATGGCTATGGAAGGATCAATAATCTTAAAGATATTACCTGATACACTGTAAGAAGAGAGCTTATAAAGCAGACTAGCCAACATGCCAAACTTTATCAAAAGCTTTAGAAATGTTGAGAACAATAGTTTTAACCTCTCCACATCTATTTAATGCATGATTAAATCAACATCTATTTAATGCACAATCCTATTAGTTAATACCGTTAACAAATCAGCAATAGAACAAGAATATCAAAATCCATATTGATGGTCAGAAAGTTAGTCATTAGATTCGAGATTTAACATTAATTGCTTGTTAACTAAAGACTCAAAAATCTTGCTTATGATAGGAAGAAGATTAGTAAGAAAGTAGTTAGATGTGTCAAATTGTTCTCCAGAATTTTTGAAAATAGGGTTAACAGATGCTGCTTTCCAGTATGCTGGAAAACAAGACTCTGAATATCCTGGAAAGAGTCCCAGTCAGTTTTAAGGTAATTGTAAGAGGTACAATGATAGAGGATTCTGATGATGAAGAAGAATGAAATAAAAGTTTTAGAGAGATCAAACTGTGATCAGAAGCACCGAAGGGCAAATGTGGAGCAACTGAGCACTGAGTAGTATCAGAAACAAGACATAATTCAATTAGAGAGGGTAAATGCGGTAGTGGTGTAGTGGTAGAGCGCTCGCTTCATAAACGAGTGGTTCCGAGTTCGATCCCCACCACGTCCCTGGTAGTACCGCGCTCAACTCGTTTCTCCGCGCAGCGGCCTTGTTCGTCAAGGTTCGTGTTTCGGAGTTATAGAGTTGAGAGAAGGTTATAGCCACAAAATAAGTAGCCTCCTCGTTTGTAGTGGCCTTCTCGGCCTTCTGGAGGTGAAGTAAAAAAAAAAAATAAAAAAAAAATAAAAAATGATTCGGAATGTCTGGAATGCAATTGACCATTTGAACCAAAACTATTCTAGTATCAGTGACTCTGCATGTGTTAGTGACATTAATGCTAATGTGATGAGCATTAAAGTCACCAACAACAATGATGTTAGCTGAAAGATAAAGAAAATGGCTTGGTCAATTTGATCAGAAATAACATCGAAAAGAGTCTTGAGATAAAGGAGAGCAATATAGAACAAAGAGAAATAGATAGAGTGAAGTTCAGATCAAGATCAGAGTGAAATGGTGCTAAACAATACAAGAATAGTCAGTGGATTTAAACCTAGTTTCCTGACAAATGGGCGAATTCTTACCAATGTAAATGCCCAGGCCAAGCATGTGACTATTAGAGTCTTTAAAAATTAAAGGAAGATAACCATAAACATTAAGATCACAAGATGAGATAGCTGAATTCAAATTATTATTATGAAGAGCAAGAAGTCTTGTGAATCTTGTAACAGATAAGACTCAACAAAAGAAAAGTTGTTTCAAAGACCATGAACATTGTTAAATTATAGATTTAGAGAACTTGGTGAAGACAATGGTTTTTTATGTTTTATAGTTTTTGATACTTTAGTCATTTTTAAATTGGTTAAAGAACTTGACTCAGAGCACAGACACTACTCAGTGCACTATCTAATAGTCCAAGTAATTGCTTCATTTCTATTAATAAACCTTAAGCCGTAACAAAAGACTCCAAATGTGGCTTCAACAATGCATACCAAAAGTATGAACAGGGACACCATCCATGTGCAACATTGTACTGTTAGTACTCTGATATTTTACAGCTGTTGATGGAATCAGACTCTCTGAGAGCTACCACAGAGTTTGGGAAACCTGACTACCAGAGCCATAAAACTGAGATTGAGAGCTGTACCCTCATTAGTAGATAGTAGAGTTTTACATATTTTATTTTAATAATGATTACATTTTTCATTCAATAGAGAAAAATATCATTCTAGTTTATGATTACATTTTTTATACATTTATTGCATTAGTATTTATGTTATTTTCAAAATGTTGTTTAGATGGATTACATTTCCCTTAGTTGTATTTACTTCATTAGGTGTACTCGGTTTAATTGGTTATGGTATGTTTTAAACTAGTTTTTTATTTACTAAGTTTTTTATATTTTTGTATTTTGAAAAAAATATTTTGTCCTAAATTAATTAAATCATTTTTCTCTCAGCATTTATAATTATCATACATCATGTTAAAAAGTTTTTGTTTCTAGGTATTTACTATTCGTTTGCAAAATATAAGTTTTTAGTGGATACAAAATCAAGTGTTGATATTGTTTGGAGAATATCTATCAAATTAAGTGATTTTTCTGCTAACAAAAATGCTTGGCTTATACTAGGTTGTTTTTATACTT